GGGGTAGCACTACTCATTTTTGACCCCTAAAGGGGGTCAAATTTGTGGAAATTTTCCATTATCTTTTCATTTAGTATTTCCACCAATGTTTTTGAAACTGTCTCATACAGCAGGGGAAGTCTTACTGCAGAGCTTAGAACTCCACTCGTGTCTCATTGATGGAGACCAGAGAACCCGGTCTTGTCATCAGTATTCTAGACTCACTCAGCTCCAGGATTTTGATGAGTATATATCTATTCATAATTGTTCTTGTGAAACATATATTGTTGTTTTGTATGCTTATTCTTTAATATTCATAAATACTGTTAAGTTATGTTTCTCATTCTTTTACTTACCTCTCCTCAGAAGAATGTTTTTAAAATCAATGGTTGTGGTAGGCAGAATTTCAAAATGGCCCTATGATCACTGCAGCATGATTATGTTACACTTGATACATGTCCAGAGTGATTTTGCAGGTATACTTAGCCCAAGTGGCACAGTGGGTTCAGTCTTGGGCTACTAACTACAAGGTTGGTGGTTTAAACTGCTCATCGGGAGAAAGATGAGGGTGTCTGCTCCCACAAAGATTTACAGTCTCATAAACTCTATGAAGCAGCTCCACTCAGTCCTACAGAGTCACTAAGAATTGGAATCAATTCAATGACAGAGGACATTAGAGTTATGGTTCCTCATCAGTCCACATTCAGATATGGAGATTACCCCGGTAGGTCTGACCTAACCATATAAGACCTCTAGAAGCAGAGTTTCCTTAACGTACTGCAGAACAGTATGTCAGAAAGATTTCAAGTATGAGAAGACGTAAACAAGCCATCACTGACTTGATGACAGAAGGCAAGTGTCAAGGAATGTAGGTAACCTCTACCACTTGAGAGCAGCCACTGGCTGAGAGCGAGCAAGGAGATGTGGACCTCAGTCTGGCAATCACAAGGAATTAAGCTCTGCCAAAAAAAAACTGAGTGGGTTTGAAGGAAGATTATTTCCCAGATCTTCTAGATGAGAGCTCAGCACACCAATACTTTGAAGTCAGCTTTGTTAGACTCTAAACAGAGAAGCCAGTCACATTATGCCTGAACTTCTGATGTGCAGAACTGTGAAATAATAAATGGGTGTTGGTTTAAGTCTCTAGATTTGTGGTAACGCAGCAGTAGAAAATGAATACAATAATGATGCGTGTACATTTTTATTTATTTGACACTTATATAGTATTTACAACCAGACCAATAAATAATATCATGATAAATAGAGAAAAGACTGAGTTGTCAAAGATTTCATTTTGCTTGAATCCACTATCAGCACTCATGGAAGTAGTAGTCAAGAAATCAAACAATGTATCGCATTAGGTAAATTTTCTGCACAAGACCTCTATAAAGTGTTGAAGACCAAAGGTATCACTTTAAGAAGTAAGGTTCATCTGACCCAAGTCTTGGTTTTTCCAATAGTCTCATATGCATGTGAAAGTTGGACAATGAATAAAGACGACCGTAGAAGAATTGATGCATTTGAGTTACGGTGTTGGAGAAGAATATTCAAAGTACCATGAACTGCCAGAAGAACAAACAATCTGTGTAGGAAGAAGCACAGCCAGAATGCTCCTCAGAAGCCATGATGGTGAGACTTTATCTGTCATATTTCGAACATGTTATCAGGTGGGTCCAGTTCCTGGAGAAGGACATCATGCTTGGAAAAGTGGAAGGTCAATGAAAAAGAGGAAGACCTCCAAAGAGATAGATTAGCACAGCGGCGGCAGCAACGGGCTTAAGAGTAACAACGGTTGCGAGGATGGCACAGGACCAGGCAGTGTTTTGTTCTGCTGTGCATAGGGTTGCTATAAGTTGGAACTGACTTGAAGGTACCTAAGAGCAACAACATATATGAGGTAAGATTCCAAGAAATTTTACAAATATGCGTTTCTTTAACCTTCATAGCAACTCTGTAATATAGGGTTTATGACTTTACTAATTTTACAAATGAAGAAACTAAGAAATAGAAAGATCAAGTTTCTTTGCCAGAGGACACATGCTAGAACCAACAGTCAAACGCAGGTGATCAAAACCCCACACTGTGTCCTTTGCTTCTAGATGCTGCACAGTATTGTTTCATAGTGTGCATCTACTATACTTAATACATTGGGTCCCCAGGGATGGACTTCTCTTGGCTCTATGTTAGAAGTTGACAGGAGAATATAACCCAGAATGGGCCTGATGGGTCCTAGGGTACATATGCAATTGAATAAATACTGCCAGGTGACTCTTGAGAATAACTACGTTTGTCCACAACCACCAGCAACCCATCTGATGAGAACAATTTCTCCTTGCTTGAAATATTTCACTTGAATTTGTCTCTGAGTATCTTTCCAAATGGTTCCCAACACATTTGTATTTGATGTTACCTTACTCACTGTAAAAAAACAAAGTACACTAGTGCGAGTAAAGGAGTAATGGTAACATAGTGGTTACCAGTCAGACTGCTAAACTCAAGATAAACAGTCCAAAAGTACCAGTGGTTTCTGCTGAAGAAAGATGAGACTTTCTGCTCCCGTAAAGATTTACAGCCTTGGAGACCCTATATAGGGTTGCTATGAGTTGGAACCGACACTACAGCACATAACTACCACCACCACCACCAGTGCAAATAAAGAGGTAAGATGAGCCTGACCCAAGCCATGGTATTTTCAATAACCACATATGCATGTGAAAGCTGGAGAGTGAATAAGGAAGAATGTAGAAGAAGTGATGCTTTTGAGTTATGGTGTAGGAGGAGAATATTGAAAGTGCCATGGGCTGCCAAAAGACCAAACAGATCTGTGTCGGAAGAAGTTCAGCCAGAGTGCTCCTTGGAGGCCAGGATGGCCAAACTTCGTCTCTTATACTTAGGACATATTGTCAGGAGGGACCAGTGTCTGGAGAAGGATATCATGTTTGGTAAGGTGGAGGGTCAGAAAAAAAGAGGAAGACCCCATTGAGATGGATTGGCAAAGTGGCAGCATCATTGGGCTTAAGCGTGGCAACAATTGTGAGGTTGGCCCAGGATTGGGCAGTATTTCGTCCTGTTGTGCATAGGGTCGCTATGAGTCGGTACCAACTCGATGGCACCTAACAACAACAACAACAACAACAACAACAAGGGCTGACATAGCACCACGACTTTGGAGTCAGATAATTCAAGTTCTCACCTTACTGGTTGGGTGACTCATTCTCTAGTCTGAATCATTCCTCTGAACCTCAGTTTTCTAATCTGTAAAATGAAGATAGTAGTACCTACCCTTCTATAAGGAGCTCTGATAGCGTAGTGATTATGAATCGGGCTGCTAATCTCAAGGTCAGCAGTTCAAAACTACCAGCCATTCTGTGGGAGAAAGATGAGGCTTTCTGCTCCCATAAAGATTTACAGCCTCGGAAACCCTGTACAGGGTTGCTATGAGTCAGGACCGATTCCACGGCACATAACCACTACCACTACCCTTCTCTATTCTTCTAAATACTAAATGAGATGATATATGTAAAAGGCTTATTGCTAGACTTCTTGTTGTTTAATTGCCATCAAGTCAGTTCTGATTCATAGCCACCCTGAGTAGGGTTTCCAAAGAGCAGCTGATGAGTTTGAACCACCAACTTTGTGATTCAAACTGTCTTTGTGGTCCAGCACATTATCCTGCAACACAGTCCATACTAGGACTCCATTACCATACTTAGCAAAACTAAATGTTGGATAATGGTAAGTATTGTTTGAGGAGCCCCAGAAGAGCAGATGGTTAAGAACTGGGCTACCAACCAAAGGGTTGGCGATTCGAATTTACCCAGAGGCTCATCAAGAAAAACATCTGACAATCTTCTTCCCTAAAGACTGCAGCCAAGAAAACCCTTCAGGGAAGTTCTACTCTGTGTCTTGGAGTCAAAATCAACTTGACAGCACCCAAACAATGAACGACAACCAACAACCATCACTCATCACTACCAACCACCCAACAATTAGTTTACTATTATCAGCAGACGTGGTAGAATATTATTATTATCATCAACTATGCTTGTGCTGCCATTTGAACTGGATCGTCCCTAACTCACATTGTTAAACAGATGTTCCTTTACATGGCAGCGGTCATAGGTTCAGAGTTTTGTGGAGGAAGAGACAGAACAGAGAAATAATTTAAATGCAGAACATTCACTTCAAACTGACATTCTTCAATAAGGAGCTATACCCTGGACAACAGCGGAAGCCAAGAGGGCTCTTCATGGAAAGAGACTGTCCAGGCCGAGTGCATGAGTGCACACTCCCCAGCAGGAGGAGGACTGGCTCTGGGCTCAGTCCTGTTTGGGGATAGAAGATGCTCTGTCCTGCTGATACACACAGGAAACCCAAGGCTTATTTATTTTAAAGGCTGTGATGTGTTCGTGAGTGTTTTTAGTCTGAATTCTTTCCCTTTAATTGATGACACTAATGTATAAGTAAATAAAATCAACAGATTTCACTTTGGATGTCAGAAATTCATCACTAGCTTTTTTTTTTTTTTTTTTTGAAACATGAGTCAGGCTTTGCTGTTCACTATTATTATCTTGTGTCCTGTTACTGCCAAAGTAGACTACAGTCATTTCATTGAGTTTGCCAAAACGCAGGAAAGACTGGAGCAAAACAAAACAAAACAAAACAAAACAGCATTACCACATAGGAAACTTAAGTATTTTCACTCCAAAAGCGGACATCTGATAGAAGGAATTTGGTAGCGTTTGCACGGTTTTCTTTTTTATGCAGTTAAGTTCAGCGGTACACTAGCGTTTGAAAAGGAAGAGAAAGAGAAAGAGAAAATACACTTGCCCTGGTTTAGTACTTTTTAAAGTATAGTTTAATTTTCCATTTTACTGGGATGCTCCTCTTTTACTTTATAAAATTTCTAATTGTAGAATTTGCTTGCTGGAAATGTGTGCTCTAGGCTAGAAAAGAATATTTAGAAATCCTTACCCCAAAAAAAGGCAAGTGGGAGTGGAAATTTGAAAGAAGACCGCCTAAATTAGCACTAAAACCAGTGTGAGAAACTCTGTGTGTGTGTGTGTGTGTGTGTGTGGTGGAAAATGTGCTTTTCAAAGTGCAGAGAGGTTCATGGGAATGTTTGATTAGCTCCTCTCAGAAGAAGAGAAAAGGTGGTTGGACCTCTTCTTGTTTTGTCTTTGGAATAATTTGGATGGAATTTGTGATACAGAAAAGCTTAAGGAAAAAAGGATATCCATTCTGTATGGTGGAATTTTTTTGAAAAAAAAAAAAAACAATTTCTTTTTGCTTTCTTCAAAAAGGTATGTCTGATAAATTTCTAAACTATGCATGTAGCTTGCTTTCTAAACATTATTTTTAAAACATTAAAATGTGTTTGTCACTAAGAAATAAAAATAATACTTACCTTGACCAAGTAGTCTCAAAGGAGCTGGGATGTAATTGGCAATCATTTATATCAGTATGTAAATTATAATTGTGCTAACACATTCAGATTGAGCAAAACTTTTCACTGTCTTTAGACCAATTTTATTATGGTCAAAGAAAATTGAAAGCTGAAAAATAAGACCTTTGTGTAGAGCTTTGAAGTACCTTTAAGTCTTATTAGCATGCTTTTTAAAAAAAAAAAAAAATGCCTTCCTTTGCATATGGAAGATGGTAGCAATATAAGAATTGCTTTAAACAATATGGAAATAACAATTAAAGAATTAAAAGAGACATTATCAGTGTGTATCTCTGCTTCTCTCTATCCAGATGAATCTTATGGGATATGGCTAGATGTGCAACTCTATGTCTTGTTTACACTGGAAGTGTTTTCTTAAGTTTAATGCTACTTTTACTGATAAGCCAGTTAATTCTACCATTGTAGCTCCACTTTGCACAGGGAGACAAGAAAGGAAGTCCTTTTAACCATGATTTGTGTCTAACCAGCATAAACCTGAACAATTTGCCTCAAGTACCAGTTTAAGTTGAGAGTATAAGATGGAATTTGACTCAATACTTTGCTCCCAACAACGCATGCATCTTTCCCATCTCCAAATCAATAGTGGAATTCAAGATTTTCTTTGGCTTTATTGGAAAAATTAAACCAGGAGTTCTTGCCATGGTGGTTGTTCAAAAATGTAAGCACTAAGAAAATAGCGTTTTGGCAATTCGCAGTGTTGCAATAAATTTGGAAGTTTTGGTGGTAAAGTTCTGAGGTTGTTTTTCCTTGGGTCTCTTGAAAGATGAAAACAGCCTGCAGCAGAGCAGGATCAAACGCTGATTGTTTGTGTGTTTTCGCTCTAGCTGCCAGTGGTAGCTGTGCGGATAGGAAAACTGGAAGTGCCTGTCATTTACTTATTGAATTAAAGGACCCTCTCTTGTAGAAAGGCTTTAGACAAAGAATGGTAAAACTACAGGAGCTGCATTTTTCATTGCACTATGCTGGCTTCCCAGACTAAGCGTCATTAAAATACATCTTACACCTCAGTACCGAAAGAAAATACCTTAGAAACAATGAAAAGGCTCAGTAACGATCCTGAGATAGCATTTCCTTTATTAATATAATTTAGAAGGTCTAATTATCTTTTTCATCGAGTTATAGATCACATGAAGAATAGTTTCTTTCAGAGCAAAGACACAGGGTGGTTTCGGAATAACAACATGAGAACAAAAATGCTTCTGGTGTTCTCATCTGTGATTCTTGTAAGACATATTGTGAACAGGAAAGCAGTGTTATGTGGTGCAATGCACCATGCCAGGAGTCCTAAATTACAGTAACAGCTCTACCACTGCCTAGTCGTGTTACCCTGGAAAGGTGTGGAGCATTTCTTGACTTTGGTTTCCCCATCTGTGTAACAGAAATCGTAATGACTATTCAACCTCCTACTTAGAGCGGTCATACAGTTCAATATTGATTCTGAGATCCAAAAAGGCTTTGAAATATGAAAAGGTCTATAGAAATGTCATCTTTTGGAGTGGTGGTTTGGTTTTTTTCCTTATTCAAAGAAAGATTACACTGGGAGAAGTCATTGTCTTGGTGGCACACATGTTAAAAGTTGGTGATTCAAACCTTCCCAGTGGCTAGGCAGGAGAAAGGCCTATTGATCTGTTCTCATAAAGATTACAGTCTCGGAAAGTCGATGGAAAGCTCTACTCTATTACATGGGCTTGTTGTAAGTCAAAAACAGACACAACAGTACTTAATAATACCAGTCATTGCTCTTTAGCAATGTCATTGCCTCCAGAATATTCCCCTTGCATGTGCCCAGGAGTGCAATGGCCCCCTCTCCTTGCTCTCTTAAAGAGGCATGACCATAGCATTTGGGGGCAAAATACTGCACCTAGTCTGTCTTTCAGTAAGAGGCAGTCTAGGTGTGCGATTCTGGGAAAGTTACTCAACATCTATAGGTCTCCATTTCCTCATATATAAAATGAAGAAGTTAGATAAGATATTCTTCAAGTTTTTCTCCCAAGCCTATGGTTTTAGTGAAGTGGTAACCTCTCAGATGTCAAAACAAAGCCAAATGCATTTCATTTTTGAGACTCTCTGTATACTACAAAGTGAACAATTACCAAAACAGGTTACAGAACCTGAGGTCTATTTGAAACATTTATGCTTAACTAACTAAAGATTTTAATCTACAGAAAAATGTATTGTAACATAATTGTACTATTTTCAAGACAATTATAAGTTACTTAAATCGGTGCCATTCCCAAATTGAGAGTAGTTAATATATTCAGCTAGAAGAAAGACTGAAGGTTCAAGTCCACCCAAAGATCTCAGAAGAAAGACCTGGTGATCTACTTTTAAAAAGTCAGGGTCAACTTAATGGCAAATCTATATGCATATGTGTGTATAGGAGTCCTGGTGTGGTAGGGCAGGATAAGCTCTGGACCACAAGGTCAACTTGAACTGCAAGGTTAGTATTTCAAATTCACCAGCTGGTCCTCAGAAATCCTATACAGGGTCACATTGAGTCAGAACCAACGCGATGGCACTTAACAACAATATGTGTATGTATGTATGTGTGTATACATATATGTACATGGCGTCCTGGTGTGGCGCTTATAGGATAAGGACTGGACTGCTAACC